CGATGCCGAAAACATCACTCTACGGTAGTAATATCCGAAAACATGAGCTCGCACTTTTAACTAGAAATGAATTACCAAGCAGTTTGTAGAGCTTTAAAAAAGCTTTCTCTTGATATATAATGTAGACCGCAACCTAAGTTCTTTCATGCTACAAACACAGAAACATTATCCGTCAGTATGCTTGAAAACATCACTCTTCAGTGTTCACACTTTTAGCTAGAAATGAGTTACCCACCGTTTCGTAGAGTTTTGAAAGAGCTTTCTTTTGATATATAGTGTAGACCGCAACCTGGCTTCTTTCACGATGAAAAAGCTGAAATACTATCGTTGGCTATGCTGAAAAGGTCATTTTTAACAGTAATACGGCAAAACGTGGGTGTTCGCGGTGTACATAACAAGTGAACAGTACACAGTTTTGTGCGCCGTTTAAACCTACATCGAATGATATATAAGCATTTTCTTCAAACTTGTTGTGTTCTGACAAAAGTACGAAAAACGCCTTGGAATGCGCTCGCGGAACTATTATTCAAAGTTGATCGATTTTCTGACAGATATGAGATTCGAAGGGGAACCAAGCATGTAGCACCTCATAAAATTGTATGCTCTTTCATTCTAGACACCTTTCGAGAAGTTTTGAAATGGGGCCGATCCTCGTTCTTATTGCACTCCGTCCTTTAATTGCATATAGTTCGGTCTCTAGGGTCAAAAACACAAGAAACCGTTCTCTACTTTGGAAATCGGCTTCTAGAAACTCGGCTCCGGCACATATTTTTTAGGAAATTAAATGTTCGACACGTGTGTCTCAAAAAAGCTTCCTTCAATGTGAAAAACGCTAATTGAAATTGTTAGTCAGTATACAATTTTCAGTATTTAGTATACTGATACTAGCACATACTTACTGCTATTAAACTGTGGCAATAAACATGAGAAACAAGCAGTAAGCAGTTTTTTCCTGCTTGTTTTCTTCCTGCTGCTTGTGGGTTGGGCTGGTACCCAGTATTTTTACTTCAAGGTGTTGGGTTTTATTCTCTTTTCATACTCAATCATCAGCATATTCTTCCCTTTCTTCTTATATAAAACATGTGCAGTAAAAGAAAAATGTCAATATTGGGCTAAAACTTTTTTCTTTACAGTATATATTTACTATATTACTCCAGGTTCGAAAATAATATATGTGTGTAAGAAGGACGTAAGTAGTAAATTCGAGAAAAAAATCACGCTGTTACGGGTTGAGGAAGCGCGATAAATTTACTCATGCTCTGCCAAGTTGAAGAGTATATCGAGTTATGCATACTGAAAAATTTTCAGATGTTTAATACAAAGCCCAGTACAGTTATACATTTTTTAAGTTGGTGTCCAGAAATCTGACCAACTTCGAAAAGGTGCTAAAAATCCTAAAAGTAAAAGCTAAAGTCTAGTTTTAGTATAATTAGACGCAATATGCCAGGTAGCGCGTAACCTTTCGCGCTGAAAACTTTCTATTGCTGTTATGTTTATGCTAAACTTAGCTATCCTAAAGTCGCTCCCATATTCTGATAATGGGTAATGATCTTTGAGAGACATTAACTCTAAAAAAGCATTTTTAATGTTAGTATTTAATCGCAAAAAGTACTTTCACCTTTCGTTAGGAAGTCGAAACAAGAAGGAAAAAATATTTATGTCGTATGGGTGTTCTTTTTCTTTTCTGCTTTATTCATGTCGGTACTTTACCCGCTGAGTCACTCAAAAATTAAGTATGCAAATTCATCGAAAGTTGTGCGTTACTTGTTGCTATTTAAGTTAGTAAATTACCCATTGTTTCTTGTGATTTTCCAGCAAATAAAGCAATAAAAATTGTATCGACGTCTCGATTATTTAAACTTTATAAGCACACTTCATTTTATGCACATTCGAACATCATCAACAGGATATATCAAGGGTTTCGATTATTATGATACTGACAAAAATACTCAAGAAAAAATGTTCCAAGAGAATCTAGCTGCTAGCTCCAGTCTAGTAGTAGTAGTGAACCGAGCACCAGGTTATCATAACCGAGTAGGAGCTGGAGCTTGACATCTAGGTTAAGCACCCGGTTAATATACTTGATAAGACGGAGGAGGAAGTCATCCATTTAGGTTTTCCTCTAACATTCCCAGTTTGTAGACGATAGTTCGAAGTATATATCTTGAAGATTTCTCAGCTTACTTACATTATTTAGCTGAGAAAAAAATTAATTACTTAAAAAAAGGTTGCTAAATTTTTGAGCACGGGGCTATTATTACAAAATTTCCTATCCATTCTCCATTCATCATAAAAACCTGGTTCTTGTCTAGATCGATAGAGAAATATGTGAAGAGTATTTTCTACGAGAAAATATGTAAAAATGTTTGTTCTTAAGCTTTTTAGATTTCAAATTTTCAGATGTCGTACACTCTTCCTTATTCAAACTCTGAAGAAGAGTCAGAAGTCAAATTTCTTCTTTTTTCTTCTTTTGCTTTTATATTTATTGCAACAAAGAAAAAGGAATCCGATCAGCCTCTCGTTCGCAGTCAAAGTCTTATAGCAGCAAAATGTTATATAGCATTTTCAGCTGGTAGTTTACCGAGCGAAACAGCTTTATTCATTATCAATTGTATTTAGTTAAAGATCAACGCTCATTTGCTCCCAAATGGGTCACTATGACAAAGGAAAAAGTATGTAGTTACGGCAATGGTTTGGACGAAGGAACTTCGGTTCCACTGCAGGAAAAAATAGTCTCCTGGTTAGCAAATCGACGATCTGTTCTTGGAAGAATCAATGGCTATTCCTTTTTACATTGCAATTATCTAGTCACTGCCCTGCGCATCATCTGATCGTTCACTAGAGTTTCTATTGATCAGATAAAACCAAGCAAAAATATGCATGTCCTTACTACAGTTCAAGAACAGCATTTTATATTTCCTTCAGACAAAATGAATAAAAAAAGCTCACATTCACCAGTGCTTTAGCGCTCACGTTCAAGGGACAAAGCGTGAACTTTTACAGATCTATATCAAACCCATTCATTGAAATTTGTTTGATCACAAAATATAAACTTATGATCAATTAATGTATGACTTAATGATGATGATGGTATAAGTATCTATGGAGATAAACACACAAAAAACGTATAAGTGTTTGATGTGTATATAACAGATCAAAATAGATGTTTTTCTTTTCTATTTCACACTAACTTTTTACTTTTAGTATAGTCAACAGTATTTTTTTTATAATGAATAATAGTAAAAACATCTACAAAAATTGTGTTATCGATGTTCATATGACTATTCATGTCCTAAGGTTTTGTCGTAAAACGACCAGTAAATAATGTAATATTTCGTTTTTCTTCTCGTATCATGAATAAAAATGGATGATCACATGTGAATTCAACTGGTGGTGGATGACGTATCGTGGAACTACGACCTCTCGTAAAGATAACAGCCGCTAGAATAATGAAATAGTTTGGTATTTTATCTATAAAAGGTTTAATAGAAATCAAAACTCACTAGCAGCAGCTGCCTCCGAACCTGAAATAGACGAAAAGAAAAATGTAAGAGAAAAATGTAAGAGATTTTTCTATGTAGAAAAATGTAACTACATACTTTTTCATGTAATCATAGGATCTTTTTTTCTCTACTTATAGCGTTATAACGTTATAAAACATGCTTTTTCTTAAATTATGGTATTGCAGCGCTATAGATTTATCTCATTACAACGCAATAGACGTAGCCGTCGTGTTACAACGCGTTGCAAAGTTATGTTTCAGGAATTTATGGCGTTGTACGTGGATAAAAATTTTCATTGCATTACAACTCTCTAAATTTATAGCATTATAATGCGTTTCAATTTTTTCAAGGCAATTAGATTTGTCTACTGCCTTATAATACGTTAAATTCTATAACGTGTTTGAGTTTTCTGCTTCAATGTAATGCGTTAAAAATTAATACGTTATAATCCCTTAGATGTTTTATTAAATTATAATGCTATATATTTGAAAAAATCTTTTATAGCGTTGTAATTCATTAGATACTGCATATCGTATTGTAATGAGTTAATATCGAATAGATTACAATGCATTATTTTTTCCATCTCATTGCGATGAGATAAGAAAATGGAACTCGGTGTAACACGATAGGTATTAATGCGTTACAACGAGTTAGACAATATCCAAAACGAAAATACATAGTTTTCTTGTAAAGGACACATTTCCATAAATGAACGTACACTTATTACCACTGTTATGTATAGCGTTACAGCGCCTGAACAATAGTTAATGCATTCATTGTAATGCAATAAATCTATGGTGTTGAAACGTGCGAAGAACTTCTATAGCCTTACATTGAGTTAAAACATGCATAACGCGTTGCAATGCGTTATAATGCGATAGGAATTTAGTAACGCCTTGTAACTATTAACGAGTTAATCGAATTTATAGCGTTGTAATATTATAAAAATATGAGAAAATCGTTAACAAAACTACATTATAACACTATAATTTCAATTTTTTGGCATGTAACGCGTTGCGCTCATTCGTTACAATGCATTAAAAAAATGTTTTTTCTAAATTTATCGCGCTATAACACAATAGAAAAGCTAACACATTAGAAAGCATTACGATATGCCTAACGCATTATAATGCAATAAATATGAAGAAAACAATCCTGTGGGCTAAGTATAATATGTGGAAAAAGTTGCACATCATTATCGTACCTTGTTCATTAACTTCAATACATGCTTTATGTATTACTTTAGTGATATATAAATTATTTTTTTCATTATCGATATTTGAAAAATCTGCTTTGTGAATATCGAATGCATCTGTCATGCCCATTTCTGATAAAATCTCACTTAATTGAAATTGACATTCCATTTTAAATTTTGGTAAATATAATAATAATTCTTGTATTGAAAACGCATTATTCATTAATAATTTTTGTTGATTGATTAATAGGTTTTCTTCAATATCACTTAGCTTAATACCATTGTATGGTAAAAGAATTGTAAATACAAATCGATTTTCGTCTATACTTTTATATGGTATATGGATAATTCGTACTTTTAATTCTGTATCATTGTAATAGGGATATTTTTGTTTTTGATACATCATTGTTAATTTTGTTATTGTGCCATTGTCCAAATAAAAATTCATATTATATCTTGTGTCTTGAAATTTAAATTGCTTTAACCAAGTACCTTTGAGCGATAAAACATAATCAATTAAAAAACAACTGAGAAAGTATAGAAATAAGGCAAGATCGTAGCGAATTTATTATTATGAAAAGTATGATATACCAGACACGGCAAAAGTTTTGTAACATCTTATGTTTTTTGAATATTTCAGCCTGGATACAACATAGATTATTGAATCTGTTTTCGAAAGATGCACAATTTAATTCTCTACAAAACTGATATTGACCTTAGTCTGCAGTAATAAAATTCTAAATTTCTAGAGGTGAAACACTTCGATGGAATCAAATTCAACTATTTCCCACTAAATTTTTGAAATTGGTCGTGTTTCGAATTCCAATAAATACGACTCACCAACAGATAGTCCTTAAAAATGTCTGTTGATTGCATACACCTATGACTGAACCTTCCCAAGTATCCAACCATTTTTTCCTTAAAACATACACGATTGTGGGTAATCTTTGATGCTGATCACGAATCTGATATCCGTTTCTGCTGCTGGACCTCTCTGGGATGGGTGCCTGAAATCCAGGTATCTGAAGACGCGCTTTGACCTTCCGGCTGAACATATTTTAGCACTACTAGATTTTAGAGCACGTTGAATTACCTATGTAGGAAAATGTTCAGAACCAACGAACGAGTTATCGCAGAGATAGAACTAATCCAGTAGAGAACCAAAATATTTCAGGTATTTGAACCTAATGTTTCTATCTCTAAGAAACTTGGTTGTTGGTTCTAAATTTTTTCCCACTAAGGTAATTCAACGTGCTCTACAATCTGGCAGTGCCGAAATATATTCTGCTGGAAGTTCATAGCGCGTCTTCGGACGTTCGGATTTCAGGGCCCCACCCCCCCCCCAGAAAAACTTAGTAGCAGAAACAAATACCAGATTGTTGCATCAAAGATTATGCACAATTGTGGGTGTATTAAGGGGTTAAGGGGGGTGTATTAAGATCAGGTATTCGTGTTTCGATTGTGCATCAACAGCTGTTTCAAAGATATAGAAATAATCTTCTCGACCCGGTATCTGCTACTATAGAAAAAACTCTCTTATTCAATCAGGAAAATCACTCCTTTGTAGCAATTAACTATTTCCTAACGCCATAAAGATGTTCATTCACTGTTTTTGTGGTATGGAGAAAGGTAAATCGTTTTCCTATAAAACTTTATAGTAATGATCTTTATTGAGCTATAGATGATTGTTTCATAATCTTTTTCTGAAGACAGCAGCTGAGGGGGAAAAATCGCGCTAGTTTTCGAAATATGACTTTTAGAAAAAAAGTTATTCAATGAGTAGAAAGTAGCATTGAAAGTATCTAACGAGGAAATCTGCCCAAGTGTCCAATCGCTTTTTTCTTAAGGAGGATACCCCTCCCCCAAGCATACCCTCAAACTATGCCGGTTTGTAGAGAACACCTTCAGGGGTATTCGTGTGCAATAACTCATGGATTGGATAAGTTTTGGCGGAGAGGAGAAATTTTTAATAATTGAAAAAACGATTTTCCCAGCTATTTTTGCACCTAGTACAAAAAGTATTTCTTGCGCAGTCCCCCGTTTTAACGAAGCATTTTGGACAGTTTATGTCAATGCAAAAGTTGTCCATTGCATTCACCCCTACGGACAGACATAATTTGTTTTCCCAGAAACTTACTAATTAGCAGTTATTTTAGCCCATTTTTAGAAATTTTGGATTCTTAAGCGGATTATTATTTCGCTCATGC